ATGAAGATGATGCGTTACTGTTGTTGTGGATGTATATTGATTATATAAAGTTCTATGAGAATATTATTTAGATGCGGATAGGTATTGAGTGATTTGACTAGCTGGAGTTATAGGATTTGTTTGTTGGTAATAGGAATAGGAAACTTGCTTATTTATTAGCTTGTAGGCGATGAATCGTTCTCGATTTATTATCTTGTAGTTACTTTCTTTGTGTAGTTTCATAGAAGTAATGATCTTGAAGTCAATGAGTTTCTGCAGGTATGATAATGCTATTCAAGTAAGAATTGAATTGAAGATGGTAAGAAAGGAGAATGGAAAGTGCATTTTGGTAGTGAGAAGAGTATTTACCCATTATAGAACTTTGACACTATGCGTATCCTCTGGACAAATAGGAGTCTAGAATTTATAATCTCTTACAATATTTGAAATGAGGAACGAAAAATAAACTCCCCTCTCTCACTATAAAAACCCTACAAGTTATCTAGAGTAGGTAGAGAAGTCGATATCCAATAGCAACCAAAAGGTTGAGGCTAAGTCTACTGACTGAAAGTCAGATTATATATCGTATGTTTGAATCTCAGTATACTGAGATGAAACAGAAAGAGAGATTAACACAAGGAACAGTTGAGATATTAAGATAATCTTGTGGTAAAAATTCAATAATCATTAGGACATCGACAATGTAAGTGGAAAACGACAGTGGAAATACTTTAGATTTATCGAAAAATAACATTAGTTGTTCTTACAAATGATATCACTTTCTCACGATTCTAATAATTGAAGAGATGGTAATAAATCACAAGAGTAAAATGATATATATGGAATTATTGTTAAATTTTCCTACCCCAAAAAATCTTGTCAGTTCGTGACTCGCGATTCTCAAGCGAGTTTGAGTGTCACGACTTTTGTTTTCTTTGTTTTTTCACATATTATAAGTGTTGAGATTGTATCAAATTGCACTTTTGTGAGTATCTTTAATTATCAGATGATGAAAAGAATAGTATCTTGTATGAACGAATGTTGAGATAAATAACGAGATAAACAACGAGATATCTAACAGATAAATACAAAGTCACGTGTAGTATTAAAGCTACAATCTCAATAACAAGTGAGTATAAATTGCAGAAGATGATAGTTCATATGATTCTTCGTGGATTTACTAGATGTTCGGAAACTGCAGAAATAATTACTGCTGTTGTGGTATTATGATAAGGAGCTGGGATTTTGTGAGAGAGATAGATGGTCTGGATTGTTACTGAGAATTGTCAATCTATTATTGTGCTTTATTGTAGTTTGAAGGGATTTTGTTTGTGACTATTTTAATGGCTATAGGGATGATTATTGTTAAAAACTAGATTAATATTTGACGGGTGGATGGATGAGATAGATAATCGTGACAACGAGAAAATTCCACCTCAATTTTAAATTCGCATCTTTTCGGAAGAGAAGTTGCTAGAGATTTATGACCGAACCCCAAATTCAAGAATTACAAGAAACTTTTCCTGAGAAAGGGAGCTTATTGATTAACTTTCTTGGTTGATGAGTGAAGTTCTCAGGGTGGTTTATATAAGTGATTGATTTTTCAAATTATCATGCGCATACTGCTTTCTTACTACTAATTCAAGCATGGGGATAGAATTTCGAGTGCTAGGTTCAATATTTGGTTGATAATTCACACGCAAGAAGAACTCGATGTGAATTTGGAGGTAGTAAAGCATAAAAGGAACGATCTACTTATCAGCTTGAGTCGCAAATACAACGATCACAACTCATAAACGAAATGATGGACGGCCCTAAAGTAGTGCATCTAGATTGGTTCGAATTTTGATATTGTAATAAACTCAAGGTGGTGTTGTTCTTGCAATATGTTTGAATGTGTGAGAGGCTTCTGAATTTGACGTATAATAATAATGATGGAAAAGAAGGGGTTTCGATAACATATTGGTCTCGCTTGTTACTGTCAAAGGTATCAGTGTTGAAGAGAATCGCTCATATGATGAGGGGTTTACTCAGTATTGAATAGACCTAAATCACCTTCCAAATGAGAATCCATATGATTTAAAATTCTCACTCAAAAAGTAATTCGAATGGCTTGCTCGTCTATAATAGCTTATTACAGGTAGATAGAGAATTTTGAATAGCTATTCTCTCTCAGATAGCTCCATCCTAGACATTTTTATACAAGATATCAGATAATGACGCCTTTAATCATCGCGCATCAAGACGAGGATCCTCGTTACATCTCGAAGTTTAGCGAATAAAGAGGTATAAAATTGACTAACGATGTCACTCACTGTGAATTGTCAACTGCAAGGAAGGCTCTGCTTATAACCCACCATGTAATGGTTTGAGAAGATGTGGGTGGATGATCAGTAGAAAAATGTGTTCACTTTTGATAAGAGCTTCTATTTGAGGAAGATAGGGAGTACTATGTCCATGTGTATATCGATTTGGTAGTCTCAGTGTTGTTGCTAACGTTCAAAGATTATTGTCGTTTATAGCCATCAAGTTGCCAATACTTTCGCTCGTGATTTTATTATAATTCGGAGGCTAAAAGTTGTAGATAGAGTTATTTTGCGTCGAGATCTGACTTGATCTTATCGACAAAGATTGTCAGTCTTCAGACTAGGACGATTGAACATGCAGAATCATTGAAACTCTTCACCAACGCTGTTTCACTGTAGGATAGCAATTCAAGATCTAGCAAGAGAAGAGCCTTATATACCAAGATTTGTGGTCGTTTTAGAAGAAGGCATTGTCGAGATTAAGTGAAGAAACTGTGTGATTATATACACATGCAGATACCGTAGAGGTCGAGGCACTGCTCATCCAAAGGTTGCCGAGTATTGAAGCCTACTTCACTTTCATTAATGCAAATTTAAAAGCCTTCGAATCTTCACAGAGTCAGACACCAGAGTTCTAATTAATCACTTCACCAGTTCACTCAAGTAAAAAGCATCCCAATTTGCTCATAATCATAATTCATATCCTTTTAAATCAACTAACCATCCCCTCATTTATAAGTCCTATCCTTAAACCCCCCAATAACTTCCACCGTCCTCGTTCCATCCTCCGCATCCTGATACAATCCCTTTGCAATATCCGGATTCAACTGTAATCTCTGCTTCGCTCTAACCCACTCCTCCATCGTAATTTCCTTCTCAAATCTCGGTTTCACCCCCGCCTCTTTCAAAACCGGCGAATCCAAAATCGGCTCAAACAGTATCATTATGCGGTCTCGCAAAATACAAAAGTCCAGTGCGCTCATACTCCCACTGATCCTTGGGTGGCGCCACGACTCGATGAATAGACGATTTGAGCCAGCCGCCAGTGAGCTGCGAGATTGTGTCTGCGAGGTTGACGGTAATGGTGCCGGGTTGTGCGGATACCCAAGTCCATTTTCCGTCGTCGCCGAGAATTTGCAGTCCGGCGACCGGTTGACGGAAGAGGAGGGTGACGGTGCCGAGATCGGTGTGCCCGGTTGTTTGGCCGTAGCCGCTGGCTTCGTGTTCTTCGGGGTGCGCTTTGTGGTAGATCATGTACCGGAAATGGTCTTCGCTTTTCTTGTCGTAGGTGTGTTGGTTGACGAGATATTCTTCGTCTGGGAGTTGGAGAATGATGGCGAAGAGACGGAGGAGGGGGAGAACTACATTTGAATGGAGTGCTTTGGAGAAGACTTCGATTTCGGGAAGATGGGCTTGGAGGAGAGGAGGTTGAGCATATTTGCCTTCAAAGTCTTTGGTGAATTTGGGAATGTTGTAGATCTCGATATTGTCTTTAACTTTTCCAACTTGATGATGGTTGTTTCGTCGCCAGCCGTTGTAATCCGCGTTTGCATAGTCAACTTCATACTTGGCTTTCTCGTCCACGGGAAGAGTAAAGAAATTCTTGGCGAGTGTAAATTGACGATCTACTTGATCTTGAGAAAGACCAAAGTTCTTGACATAGAAGAACCCGACATGGTGGACAGCGTGTTCAAGTTGTTTGGCGAGACGTTCTTTTCCACCTTCATTGTTGAAGTCTGAGAGGTCTAGTGTCACGAGCTCGGCCCAGGGAAGATCTTCTTTGGTCTCAGGTGGATGTGTGTATTTTGGAAGGTGATCAAAGTCATATTGTGTTGGATCTTGAAGAGTTTGAGTGACATCTGGAGCCGATGTCACGACGGTTTCGGTTGTGATAGTAGACATGATGTGTGAAATCTTGGAATGAATGATGATTATGATTTCAATAAATTAGCGACAATGACTTGCAATCAATCAAGTTCTTAAGTATTATCCCTATCCTATTTCCGGCAATTCGGCACATCAAATTGTATCTCCTCATTTTGTGGTTATGAGATATCTCCAAAATTTCGTCATCTGCTCCCCGCATGACACCATCATCAAATCGAGCGCTCAACCCCCATGAAACGACGATCATCCACCATGATTGCAGCAACTAGTCGATTGATTAGTACCATTGTCGCCTACGCTTATCAATCCATGGCATTAACAAGCTTCATTGGCTTGTTAACATCCTAAAATTCTCCGGTCGGATAGAAAACCGGTGGTAATTGTGGAATCGTCTAATCGAGGGGTTCATGATGTAACACAACGACAATTCTCCCAAATATCACGTCAAGGTGAACTAAGATACCAGACATATCCTAAAAGTGGAATAAGTATTCACCCACTGGCAAAGCATGAATTCCAGATAGCAATGTATCCATGGAAAGGTTACGTTCGAGTCTTACGAGGATTTAGGATCAGATAAGAATGACTTCTTCAATTGGAGCGAATGCAAAAAATATCAAAAATACGAATGATGTTCACTGATGTCGCCATATGTTAACTATTGAACGAGCGTAAATTCTAGATCCACAAGTCTGAATGGTCGAGGATGGGTTTGAGATGGCGAAGCGGTAAACCATTATATACGTAAAAGCCAATCGAAACTTTTAAGCAATACACCCCACGTTGAAATTCGGACTCGAGGTTATTTCCGAGTAATCAAGAGTAATCATGTCCGAAGTCAAAGAGAAGGATCTCGGGTCAAATACCTTGCCTACAGATATCACTTCAACAGATGGCTCGATAATATCCCCATCTTCACATCAAGACGCCAACACTGAAGTTCCACTCAGATCATGGGAGAAGCCCGGATTCAAAGGTTCTATCCATCGATTCTTAAGAAGTGTTCAAGGCTACGTCTGGGATGATCCAGACAAACCAGCCATCGAAAAACGTTTCCTGCTCAAACTCGATTTCTTCCTCCTTACCTACGGCTGTCTTGGATACTTCTGCAAGAACCTCGATCAAGCCAATCTGAACAATGCCTATGTTTCTGGCATGCAAGAAGCGATCAAGATGAAAGGCAGTCAACTGACATACATGGGAAATGTCTTCACTGCTGGCTATGTAATAAGTCAAATCCCTGCCGTCATCCTAGTGACGCATGTTCGACCATCGATTTTGATTCCCACACTTGAGGTTCTCTGGTCTATCTTTACATTCTGTAGCGCGGCTGTTACTAATGTATCGCAATTGTACGCGCTGAGATTTCTCATCGGACTTTGTGAGGGGGCTTTCTTTCCTTGTATCATCTATGTGATTGGTTCATGGTATACGAAACAAGAGCGGGCGAAGCGTGTAACATTATTTTACTGCACCGCGACGTTAGCCACGATGTTCAGTGGCTATCTCCAAGCAGCAGCTTACGATAACTTAAGCGGACATCTTGGACATGCTGGATGGCAATGGCTGTTCATCATCTGTGGTACCATCAGTCTTCCGGTCGGCGTCATTGGATATTTTTTCAACCCCGATTTTCCCGAAACCACTCGAGCTTTCTATCTCACGAAGGCTGAGATCAAATTAGCCAAAGAAAGACTCGTTCGCGATGGCTACAACACACTCGGATCGTCAGCTTGGGACAAGAAAAAGCTTTTTCGAATGATGGCGCAATGGCAATTTTGGGTCTTACCATTCGGTTATTTCTTCATCCAAGCGAGCCTTCCGTCCCAACAACCGGCATTTGCATTATGGTTGAAAGCTAAAGGCAACTCGGTCCACGATAGAGATGTGATCCCAACAGCTCAAGCTGGTATCGGTGTAATCGTTCAAGTTGTAGCCGCTATGATATCGGATTCTAATCTCTTACACGGAAAAAGTTGGCCACCGATACTGGCAATGGCAACTTGGAACATTCTTCAGCGCAGTTGTGCTAGCCATCTGGACTGTACCTATCAAGCTGAAGTTCGTTGCATTTTATCTTGCATATTTCTCAGCCGGTGTGCCGGGAATTTGGTTTTCTTGGTATCCAGATCTTATGTCTCATGATCATGAGATGAGAGGATTTCTGATCGCTACAAGTAATATGTTTGGCTACATCATGCAGATTTGGTACTCGGATGCGGTATGGAGAACTGAAGAAGCGCCTGAATTTCGTCCTGGTTGGATTGCTGCAACGACTTTCGGAGCGGCGACTGCCTTGACAGCGCTATTGACGAGATTTCTTGAGATGAGAGATGAGAGGAAAGGAATTGGAGCTTATGGTTTTAGGTCGAACGACCTGGAAAACTCGAGAGGTGGAGGCTCGATAGAAAACTCCGCATTGATTATCTAGTAGATGAACATCAATAAATAATATAATATACTATTCTGTACCAATCATCTTACCTTGATAGTCCAGCTATCCCCAACTAAATGCCTGTCCTTTTGTAAGAGAATCGTACGAGCTCTAACACAAAGTTTAAGCCTATGATACATGGGACGATGAGCCTTGGAGAAGTTGCAAGTAATCTTCTTTGTATTCAAAAACAGCAATAACCTATCTAGCTATTTGGTATCTATGATAATCCATTGCAGACTCGCTATCTTCTGTTTTAAGTAGTCTAGCCTGTTCCATATAGAAGCCTTTTGAGACGATTCCCAGATTTTGAGACCACTCTCATGCCTTATTCGAACAAGCAGATCTATAAGAAGATCGATACTTGCCAATGCAGAACGGCAGGCCAATGTATGCTAAGGCCAGAAATGTATGGATACAAATAAAATTGGTAAAAATCTAAGCCATAGTCAATTAATTTCTATCCTCGAACCGGCCTAGTACGCAACTCTATGTATGAACGGCAGAAGAATATAGTGATAATCCAGATCAATAGGTCTTGCTAGTTCTTCGGATCCATTATAGTGTTCAATATTCCCAAGATGCCCAGACGTTTAATCAGTAATCTCACTTGCCAAAATCTCGAAAGTGTGAGTGATCAATCCAGCCAACATATTTCAACTATCGACCACCCAGAAAGTTCGAAGAGAGACAACAAGAACGACAGAGTTCTAATCCAACAGTGATATTACCCACGATACGCTCTCATCCGCTTAGAACATTCCAGAGAAATCACAACCGTCTCAACGATTATTTTAAATTGCAACATGAATTCGATCTTCCAATATCCGAGCAGAAGTCGCTGTGTTGGGGAACTGGCCATTCTTTGTTTACCCGGTAACTTTTCAAGTACTCATTACATCCACAATTCTCAATTGGTATGAATAACACAGATTGAAATAGAGAGCAATAGGTGGTACCATCTCAAAGACAACCGCAAACATCACAGAAATCATGAGAAGAACTCCCCCAAAACCCTGGAAGCGTCGAAGATTCACAGTCTCTCTCAAGCTATATAACATCGCATAAATAACAACTATTCACCATCAAGAGAAATGATATTAAAAAGAAAATCAAATCATAAGAGCACAACAAAGTTCGAAGTAAGAGAAAGTTGACAGTGTATTATATTTCACTTGCTACACCGCTTGTATGCATCATCTAGCATATGTGGATCAAACACGTGGAGTGTTAGCGAAACTTGATCGTAGTATTTCACTGATAGTTGATCGATACTTGTGTTCCAGAGGAAATTCTTGCTTGCTGTAGGGTGGTGTGAATCAGTGTCTGATATTCTTCTGATTATTGAAACTCGAAAGAATAATCAACAAACAGATATATATAGATACTCAGAAAATAACATAGTCGTCAAGTGAACCACTAACAGGGTATTAATATTCAACAAATCTCTGTATATCTAATATCCACCAGGAAAAAAAAAGAAGACACTCAAAGATTCCAGAAAAGTGAACAATAAGTGAATACGTGAATACCTTCACCAATCAATCCCTATGCGAAACAAACCAGCAAACCCATCCAAAAGCAGAAACTCAAACCCAAAACCCAAACAACCACAAACGAAAAAACTAAAACTAAAGCATAGAACGAACAGAAAAAATAAATTCCCCAACTCGAAGTCCAACTCCAAAAAAATAATACACACATGCTTGGTGGGGAATTCGAATCCCCGTTTCCTGCGCACTTTGACGATATTCTTCATCTGGGAGGCAGACAGGTTAACCACTACCTCAACCAAGCTTTCTACCACGGCACCACCACGAGGCGTTTGATGTAAATTATTAACATTTGATGGGTGTCTTGATATATATTAGAAAGAGGGAAGAAAGGAGAAAGGAATGGTTTGTGTGTTTGTGACAGTGAGTTTGTAAAGTTGAGATGAGAAGGAGGGAGATGGTAGATTAGCTAATGTGATGAGAAAGAGTGTAGAGAGGATAGAAGGATTTGAGTCACTTGACTATCTATTGGACAAGATGTTTGTTTGTAGGTAAGTGGATATTGAGGTGAAGTTTCGATTCTCGGAGTGGAGTGATTTATTACAGATAGATGGAGTTGTGATGGTTGCTGAGGAAGGAGTGATTGAGAAAGAAAGGGATAGTTGTTCGATCTAGTGCTCACCTGACTGTTTGCTCACTTTATCAAATAATTTCTTCAACAGGATAGCCTGATATTTTAGTTGCAAAGAACGTCATGGTTTCAAATAGGAATCTTGAATACATCTAATAAGTTGTCATATATTGTCTTTGTGATTGCATAGACATCTGGGTACCTACATTGTACACACCACCCGACTTCACTTCAAAATCTCAGTCTTTTAGTAAGTCGTCAGTCTTGAAGCCCCCTTATATCGTTGAACATATAATCTATGAGATTCTCATTGTTTGATAATGAAGATTTGCAGAGAACTACTCAGGAGATAAGGAACAACGATTCTTCGATTCCTTGACCCCAGATGTATCGAACTCGAACACATAGACTAATACGCAACTGCTTAAAAACCTTGAATTCAAGGAAAGACAATCTTGAAACATGGCACCTCTCATCCTACATCACAATCATTCAGCACAATGGATCTTAATACGAAAAAATCAATTCCATTCCTTTAACCTAACCGGCCGTTTATCATTCCATGTCATATCATTCTTTCATCCATCATATAATATCCGTCAAGTTATCCATCAAATATTTCTAAATCCTTCAATCATCTACCCCTTAAACCTCTCTAACCCTGTCCCTCTCCCTCCACATACACAACCCCTCCAGAAACCTCCCCACATCCCCCCTGACCCCCTCCCTAACCGCATCTTGCATATCAATGCCATAGCGATCTCTATACTCTCTCTTAACCTCCTCCAAATGCTTACGGTCCCAATGATACCTCACCAATCGACTGATCAGCAATTCCGTCTTGAGCGGATCTCTCGTCGAGAGCGTCAAAGCATGATGTACCAAGAGTGCATCACGGACTGGTTTATTGATGATCCCATTGAGAATATGTGCGAGGAGTTCACCCTGGGAGAAGATGTTAGTTTTATTACCAAGAAATGAGGAATACAAAATAGGAATATAGAAAAAAAAACATACCACAAGATTCGTACTCTTCGCCAACATTTCTCTTGCAAAATTCTTTCCAAACCTCTCCTCATACCCTCTCAACACCTCTCTCAAATGTGTATCACTCCTTGTACAAACAATCTCAATCATTCTCGTCTCACCACCCCGCTCACTCGTGACACATTTCTCCAACTGTCTAATGTCCTCTCTGAGCAAATCCCCATCAATGCGTCTGCTCTCTTCCATCTTCTTTTCTTCCAGCACAAGCAGTACTGCTTTCTTAAACTTATCTTCCTTGAGTTCTTTTTCCATACATTGTCTCAACGAATCTCTATACTTCTTATCACTAAATCCATCTTTGATCTTTTCAATTTCGCGATTCGATCGCCCCATTAAACTTTCAATGAGTAATTCTCTACGGGATTTCTCCCCTTGATACCAGAAGTTAGCCCAGTAGGCTTCACTTTCCCATCGCCCCAAAGCAACTGCATAGCAAGCTTTCATCAAACTTGGATCTTCATCTTTGAGACGGAGCTTGATATGTTTAGCGATATTGACACCCTTTCTTTCATGACCCGTCTTGACAATCTTCTTATACTCGTCGCGAAGATCAAGGATTTGTTCATGTGTCAGACCCGGAAGAATGGTAATAAGAGGCTGGACATCCGGAGCACGATTTTCACCCTTAAGTGCATCACGAAGAATCTCAGCTTCATCTTGAGAATCATGGAAGCGGGCTGTGCGACGGAAAGAATCTCCACCTGAGGGAGACAAGGGAGAGAACGTCTCGGAGATGTCAGAATGTGATGTGACGACTAGCATTGGAGAAGGCATGGGGGATATAGATTGATATGTTCCCTTGTATGCTTCGAGGAGAGGAGAGTTGGGTGCATTTGCCAAGCTGAGAGAGCCTGAGCGAGAATGGCCGCCAGGGGATAAGCTCAGAGAGCCGTGTGACGAGTGGCCTAGATGACCACCGGTATTGATGCTCAGTGTGTTGAGTCGATCGCTCAGTCTAGCAGGATTTGGTGAGGCATCGCGACGACGTGCACCAGGGTCAACAGTAACGACTTGTTCAGAGACCAGACGAGAGCTACTGCTTCGAGCTGATGAACTTTCATGTCTATGATGTCTAGGTGGTGAAGAATCTCTACGGCCGTGGGGTCGAGCTGAAAGTGGAGGACTTCTCTCTTCAGGGTGTTCCCCACCAATAACTGTCTTCCTCGTGGTACTTGAGAAAGTAATCTTTTCACCCGTATGCGAATATTTGTACTGCGGAGACTCGGCATATCTATGTTCCTCATCTCTCTTGCTATACCCTGATAATTGCGAGCCAGCTGGAGACTGGACATGAGATTGATCATGACCCATACTCAAGCCAGCCGAGAGAGCCCCATGATGACTACCCACTCCCGCCGAGACCTTGAAGCTTGCCGATCTGTGACGACCATGACTATCATCAGTATATTTGTGTGTCTCTCTCTCATATTCATGGTCGCGGGGGGAAGCTAGTCGGTCACTGTGAGTACTAAAGGTACTATAGGTAGGAGTATGGATATCCTTCCCATATCCAGCACTTCGAGGAACAGCTGCTGGTGATGGATCGCGGGATCCATAAACATTGATCTTCGCCGGAGTACCAGGTTCATATCCCTCTCCATATGCCAAATTGTCATACTGAGCAGGAGTATGCAATCTCTCATTAACCCTATCCTGCTCTGTATATTTCACCTCATCGATCTTCAATGTATCAGGTATACCAGCGCTATCCACCTCTCCATATCTTGAAGCACCAAACCCTGTTGCGGGGTTCGCACTTGCATTTCTGAATCTGCCAGTGCGAGGCTCGTCATATCCGTAAGGTTCCACTTCATATCCGGATCTTG